GCGGCCGCGACCAGCGAATCGCGGCGGCGATTTATGACATTTTTTGATCCGCGATTTTTGCATTTTTCAACAAAAAAGGCTAGAATCTACCCCATAGCATATATTAGAGATGTATTTTGATAACTTTAAGGTGTCCATGGATAGTTATTTTCATGCGAAGAATGGCTAGGTACATACTATTGCTGTTTGTCTTTTATTTTTCCCTCTTTGTTGTGTTTTTATTTGTTGGTGGGTTAATTTTTTTTTCTCGTCCTGAAGTACCGGTAGTTTTGTTTTTCTATTTGTTGAGTTTATATAGCGTAATGTCATTTAATTTGATGCTGTTCCTACATTTTTAGAAATATAAATGTGTTACGTTATAGAGCGTGTCTCAGCCAAACACAAATACTGCACTAGGCCCCCCAGTGTGTGATTCCATAATTTACATGTAATATCCTGTAGGTTTTCTTGAATTACACACGTTAGAGGTTAAAACTGCCAATCTTTGGAAAGGTGGACATACGCCCTTATTTGTTAAATTTGTGTATACATGTAATTGTTTATGTGCTGTTCTGGTTTTGATTTCCTTCTGTTGTGAAACTTTTATGTTTCACGTTTTACACTCTATGTGGCTATAAATGCTATTCTGAATTCTTAAAACAGAGCACAAGAAATTCTAGTGCTTTATTTAGATTAAGTTGCCTTTATCAACGTATTGCTATATATAATGCCGTCAGAGAGAGTTGAAAGCTTGAAAACGAATGGCATCTTTTATGGCAACTTTTACCATTTTTGTGGAAACTTTTGCCATTTTTGTGGCAACTTTTGGAGAAAAAATGGCAACAAACGCAGAAACTAGTACATGTACCTATAATTGAAGTCTCTATTTCACTGAATAGTCAGCATTGGCTAAATATTCATTCCTGTATGGCTTTGAGTTCCATTAGATCTACGTACCGTCGCAACAGCCACCTGTATATAATATGTGTAATAAAAAACGGCCACCTGTACAAACGGCCACCCCCCCCCCCGGCTCGTTTTTTTTCTGCCTATAATTTAAATGTGTAAAACGATCACCTGTTCAACGCGACCCGGCCACCCTTTTTATACTTGTATGACGCGCGGCCCATGCTTTTCATTTATAATTGACATTATTTTAAATCGGCCCCTGACGCTGTGGACGGGCCGACATATAATCCTTTCGTCTGTCATTATTATTGTTGTCCCTCCAATGATAAATGTTTAAATGTTTACCCAAGCTGACCAAAGAGTAACAACCCATTTTCGACCGTTGGTGAGGGAAGCGTCGTGTGATCCGTCGATTACCTACCCCACCCACAACCCAACACTAATTGTATGTGAGGTGACTGGTCGATCCCTGTTTTCTTTACCTCATCTAGCATCTTCGTTTGCTGCCATTTTATTGTCCAAAAGTTGCCAAAAGTAGCCACAAAAGTTGCAAAAGTTGCCATAAAAGTTGCCAATAAGTTTTAAGTGTAAACTCTACGTGACGACGTATGGAAATATGTTGATCGAGGTAACTTATTAATCTAAAGCACAAACATTTCTTGTGTTCCGTTTCAAGCATCCAGAAGATCATTTGTAGCCACAAGAGTGTAAAACGTGAAAAATAAAGGTTTCACTAAAGAAGGAAATCAAAATTAGAACAGAACATAAACAACCACAAAAATAACAAATAAGGACGGGGGTCCCGAAGATTGGCCGTTTTAACCCTAAACGTGTTATTCAAGAAAACGTACAGGATATTACATGTAAATTATGGAATCACAAACTTGGGGCCTGCCAGTGTCAGTACATGTACATGTGTCCGGTTTTGGAGGAGAAACGCTCTCATACATACGCATTTATTTATTTTTTTAAAGGTAGGAACAACATCAAATTAAATTATACATGTATTGACATTACGATAAAAACACACCAAAAAAAAAAAAGAAAATACATCAGAACAATAACAAGAAAAAAAAATAACACACTTGCAAATTAAAACACAACAAAGAGAGAAAAATAAAAGAGAAACAGCAATATTACAATATAAATACAAATGTAGTATGTAATGTACAAGAGTTTTTTCACATGAAAATAACAAATAAATGTGGGGTCAACAAGTAAGAATAAGAGAAGAAGTGAAGCGGAAGGGAAAATTAACTTTGTTTCTGAGATAAGATAAGATAAGATAGTACTTTATTATCCCAGAGGGAAATTTTCCTTGGCTGTACAGGACCGTAAAAACACATGCAGGTATACATTTAAAAAAAAATTTAATCATATATATTACTCTCATTAAAATTCAATATGAAAGGAGAAGTAAAGCTGACGAAATGTACATTTACATATTATATGCATCATTCAACCACATGCAGGAATTTAAATACTAGACCTTTGGAGTTATATACAGATACATACTCTAAGAGCAACACACATCTATGCTCATTCTGACAAAAGCCTTATGCTAGATGGTAAAAAACTTCTTTTATATCTTTCTTTCTTTGTTTTTGGAGGTACATATCTGCCGCTGCCTGATCCTACACTTTCTGAAAGTAAAGAGGTTCGGGGGTTTTTTTCCGTTTTATTTTCGTTTTTTTATATCCCGTTTTTTCAAATTTTTATTCCACGGCTGAGTGGTTACTGGAAAAATGCAAAAAATCGCGGACCTAAAAAATGCCAAAAATCGCGGCCGCGATTCCCGCCGCGACAAATGCAGAGATGCTAGCTTCGTAAAAAAGAAACAATGGACGTTAACGTGAACTTGCGTGGCAACATTAGCGGAGCTTGTACGCTAAGGTGGCCTTCTCAGTCCAAGCCATCTCGCACGACTGGCTCCGGCATTGGAGGCCGGGGTGGACGACCTTATCTTGATAAGCTCGCCTCGAGACCGGTCCTTTTCTTATCGAGGATCAATGTGAAAAGCGGCGATTAAATGCGAAAAATGAGGATAGGCAGATGTTCTAATTCTAATCCGTATACAGGTGAAGAAATATCATTTTTGCATTATGTTTTTGCGTGCCGATAGTGTAATAGTATGTGTGTAGCCGTCTAGTCTGTCTAATCTCCTAGCCTCTTCATTGTTACATTCAGTCCTCTTGGATGCACACGTTTTTTTCGTTTGGGTGTTTTTTCACTACACTCAATTCTAAGGATTAAATTTGTGCTTATATTATGTGTCTTAGTCTTAGTGTTCAGCTCAGATTCTAGTTTTCTTTCATCTTGAATGTTATTGTTACTAGATTCTACTGTTACTGTGAAAAAAATTTCAGCTGACGTCTCAGTTTCAGTGCAATGAACCGTGTGA